AGAGCAGAAACCGCCCGCTACTCGGTGCCCGAAGAGGCGGAGAGAGGCTCCTTTGTGGCGAATATCGCCAAGGATTTGGGACTGACTGCTGAGGAATTATCGGCTCGACAGGCTCGGCTGGTTCCTGAAGGAGAAAAGCAGTATTTCCAGCTGAACGAGCACACCGGGGATTTGGTGGTGCGAGAACGGATGGACCGGGAGGAGCTGTGCGGGCAGAGCGAGCCCTGCCTGGTGCGTTTCGAGGTGCTGCTGGAGAGTCCACTGCAGTCCTTCCGAGCTGAGGTAAGCCTCACCGACATAAATGATCATGCTCCCGTGTTCTTAAATAAAGAGATAGTTTTAAAGATCTCGGAAACTGCAATGCCGGAGGCTCGGTTTTTGTTGGAAAGCGCTCAGGATCCAGATGTGGGGAACAACAGTCTTCAGCATTACAGTATCAGCTCAAACGATTATTTCCATATCTACACCCGGAGGCGGAGCGATGGCAGGAGGTACGCGGAGCTGGTGTTGGACCGAGCCCTGGACCGGGAGCAGCAGGCAGAAGTGGCTTTCAGTGTCACAGCTGTGGATGGTGGGTCTCCACCGCGCTCTGGTACAGCCTTAATCCGCGTGGTAGTTCTGGATATAAATGACAACATCCCGGTATTTACCCGGAGTCTGTATAAAGTCCGGGTATTAGAAAATAGCTCCCAGGATACCTTAGTGGTGGCGGTGTCTGCTAGCGATTTAGACTCGGGAACGAACGGGGAAATAGCCTATTCCATAGTTCAAAATTCAGAGGAAAATCGCCAGGTGTTTAAAATAAATTCAGAGACAGGGCAGATTCGACTCAAAAAGCCGGTGGATTATGAAGAAACGAAGACCTACGAGATAGACGTCCAGGCTACAGACGGAGGGGGCCTGGCCGCCCACTGCAAGGTGGAGGTGCAGGTGGAGGACGTGAACGACAACGCCCCCGAGGTGATCATCACCTCCCTCACCAGCCCCCTCTCGGAAGCCGCGCCGCCGAGCACCGTGGTGGCACTCTTCAACGTGCGGGACCGAGACTCGGGGGACAACGGCAGGGGGGG